CATTGCGGGTGGTGTTGGCGGCGGCGTGGGCGGTGTCATCCTCATCGGCGTGCTGGCTTGGATCCTGATCCGGCGGAGGAGAAAGGCGGCGGCGACGGCCGTTGCTGCTTCGGAAGCTGGATCGCCCACCGACGCCCCTGGAAGCCCGCACTTCCACACAGGCAAGGAAGAGAATGCTCTCGCCCACGGCGATCGAGCTGCACGAGCAGACGTGGAAGGCGACGCCGTTGAGGCGCCTGGGAACCACCAGTCGCCGCCGACGGAGCTTCAGGGAGCCTGGGGACGGGGTCCGGCCGAGGCGTCAGAGCTGCACGGACGCGGAGCTGTGGAGGCACACGGTGTGCCCATCGTGAGCCCGTCGTCGAAGACCAAGTATGAGGGCATGGGGTGGCAGTCAGGTCCTGTTGACGGGTACCAGGAGTTGGAAGCTCCCCATGGCACAGCGCGGTAAGGGGTGATAGATAGCGATAATGAATACATGACACAGGACATTCGTGGTCTTGCGCTGTGGCTACTCTTGCGGCATGTCACATGGCTCTGTAATTGTTTGACACTGGCCGTGTTGCCGAAAAGGGGCTACGAAGCAGAAACAGGCTTCGATGTGTCGGTAAGGAGGCAATTGTTGATTGATCTGCAGGTCTACCAGGTATGTTTCTTGAATACAAGCAAGGGAGCATCATCGCCCGATTTCTTTCGGCGTCGGTCGTTCCCCATGGACGGTTAACTATGATGCTCGGCCACTGTTTGTCTGTACCAGCAGACCAATCCCAGAAGCAAATCATCAGAGGGTCTCGTTCAAAAAGGTCAGAGCCTTGTTGCCGATATCACCCTTATGAGTGAACCCCTGATGCTGCTTGAAGCCGACGGCCTGCTGGTTGAAGTCCCTAGCGAGGAGATCCCAGTACTGCCTCCACAGCACGCTGTAGTCGTCCAGCCCGGCCAGGTAGCTTGCGGTCCATGCAAAATAGTCACCGCATATGAGGCTCGCCAGAAAAGGCACCTCGTAAGAGGGATCGACGGGTGGCGGAGTGTCGTAGACGGTCGTGGTGCCGGCGCGGCAAGAAGCATCATCGTCAAGCAGCCAGAGGGCGTCTGGTGCGAGGAGGGCCGCACTGAGGGGCGACACAGGACTGCGACCGAGATGGTTGTAGTAGAAGGTTCCGTCGGCGTCGAGATGGTCGAAGAACCGCGAGAACGACGGCCCGCGGAAGAAGGCCAGGCTGCCCATCTCGAGGGGGCCTGACGTGGGACAGGTTTGCTTGTTTGCACGGATGGTGCTCTGAAAAGGGGCCTGATGTTGGTTTCTGCAGGGGAAACTGAGCTCAAGAGATTCAGCATCATCTTGGTGTCCCAGGGCTGCAGCCTCAGACATAACGATTCGCGTGCTTTCAGGTGTTTCGAGAGCGTATTGCTTGACAAGCTCGTTTTTCTTCGGACCCAGGACCCAACTGATGTCAGCGGTAGGCTCGACAATGGTAGGGTTCTTCTTGATGAACTGCGTTGCCGTCTGGTACAGACTCTTTGAGGCGTCGACGTCGCCGAGATCCATCCTGCTGCGGCCATAGATACGGTTGCTGTCGCGCATGGCACGGAAAGGATCAAACCTGAAGTCAAAGGTATAACGAGACTACACTTCCGTGTCAGCAAAGACGGTGCATCTAAGACAACTGCGCGGCGGCAGTCACGCCACTTACACCGGCTTGGACCTTCCAGAAGAAGTCGTAGAATTTGAGGCGACTCTCGCGGGCGAACAGACCAGCATGCCAGCGTGCCTGATGGTGGTGAACAGCGACGTCAGGGCCCTCGCAACTCTTCCCCTAGAAGAGAGCATGGTTGTCCCGGAAGCGCTTGGCGTCGATCCAGACAGGCATAGACCAGTGCGAGGCCGGGATGACATCGAAAGTGCAGACGGCGGGTGTGGCATTGGAGACGGCTTCCTTGAACGAGACCGAGAGCTCGGCGGTGCTGAAGAAGCACCAGTCGTATTCGTGGGCACTGTTGAAGCCGATCTCGACGTCGCGCATGCTGGAGACCATGCCGTCGACGTCGTTGTCGCTGGCGAGGGCGATCAGCGCCGCGCGAGGTCGGCCGTGTCCCCCATGGCCTGCATTCACAGCGGCGAAGAGAACCAGGAGAAACATCAGACAACGAGGGACTTCCATCTTCTGGAGATGCTGTAGTGGGCCGTGCTTTGATGAAAGACGAAAGGTGTGTGGTGCTGGTACGAAGAATGTTTTGGTGAATAATAGGATGATTGAAAGTGTTGTTGGTTAGGGGCAGATGTTTGATGCCCATGTAGAAGGGACGGTAAAGAAGCTCAGGGGCGCAGGACGCGTCGAACGCGTCGGCACACGCGCTCTGGCACCGTTCTTGCCGTCACTGATGTATGGGTCGTTGGTGATATTTGGTGCTCCTGTCTGGAGTACTGGACGCTCCGATATCCTCTTCTCTGGTGGTCACAGCGCCTGATAGAAAGCTCTCAGGGAGTTGCACCGAGAATTTCAGAGAAACATGCCCACGAGGTATGCTTTCGCCTGGATGAAATACCTGATGTGGCTACTTCATCCTCGAGCTGGTCGGCATCTTCAGGGCCACGTGACCCCTGGAGCTGTGCTCCTCGTTCACAGCTTTGATCTGCTGATTTGTCCCCTTCTCTGCCAAAAGATTCCT